TACTTTTGATACAGAAGCTGAAGTGATGCGAATGTCAAGCAAGGGATCAACCTGTTTGATGGCTATGTCAGGTAGAACGCAACTAGTGGAATCGAGAGATGATATTGATGAAAAGTTCTTAGCAAACAATTCAGCTTTGTCTTTAGGTGAGGTGACAAAGTCTGAACCATACAAGAGAGAAGGAATAACAGATTTGCCCTTATTATTGATACTGTTAAAGATTCTCCAGAAGTCTCGAGAGCCTAATTTTTGTGATGAGATACGAGATTTTATGACCTGAGAATAGCGAGCTTTGGCGTCAGACAAAACCTTTTTACAATGGTTTCTGGCGATAGTGAACAGATGTCTGTTTTCTGGAGAATTATTTTGCTGATAGATATGGAAGTAACGGTTTCGATTAGAAATTGCTGCAGCGCAATGTGAGGAAAACCAAGGAGAAGAGTGAGGCTTGACCTGGAATTGTCGAGAGGGAATAAATGATTCCATTCCAGCCTGAATCCACGAAGTTATGTAAGAAGCACATTTGTCAGCAGGAAGACGAAAGATTTCTACCCAAGGGCCATCACGAAGAAAATCACGGAAAGAGTCCCAGTCAGCTTTAAGGTAGTTGTATGTGGTACGATGATAGGGGGATTCTGATGAAGTAGAAGAATTTGATAATAGTTTTAGAGAGATCAAATCGTGATCAGAAGCACCTAAGGGTGAATGTGGAGAAATTGAGCACTGTCTAGGATCCAAAACAAGACATAAGTCGAGTAGAGAAGGTAAATGATTAGGGTTGTCTGGAAAGCGAGTTGGAAAGTTGACTATTTGAGTTAGAGATTGAGAAAGGCAAAAGTTGAGGGCCTTAACGCCAGCAGAGTCACTGACACTAGAGCCAAGCCATTCAGTGTGATGGGCATTAAAGTCACCAACAACGACGATATTGGCCAATGGATAAAGAGAGAGGGCTTGGTCAATTTGATCAGAAATAACATCGAGAATAGTGCAATCTTGGGATGAAGGAGAGCGATATAGAACAAAGAGAAAGATGATAGAGTGAAGTGGTGCTAAACGAAAGCACATAAAAGAATAGTCAGTAGATTCAAACCTAGTTTCACGACAAATGGGTGAGTTCTTACGAATGTAGATGCCCAGGCCAAGCATGTGATTATTGGAGTCTTTACGAATTAAAGGAAGATAAGCATCAACACTAAGATCACAAGATGGGGCAGCCGAACTCAAATTAGTCTCACAAAGAGCAAGTAGGTCTGGTGAACTTTGCAAGAGATAAGACTCAACAGAAGAAAAGTTACTTCGAAGACCACGAATATTAGTAAATGATAGGTTTAGAGAACTTGGTGATGACAATGGTTTTTTGTGTTTATTAGTTTTAGGTACTTTAGTCATTTTAAATTTATAAAGAACTTGACTCAAGTATAGATAGTACTCAGTACACTATTTAACAACTAAGCAATAGCCTCATTACTATTAATAAACCCTAAGCCGTAACAAAGGGCTCCAAATGTGGCCTCTGCAATGCACACCAAAAGTACGAACAGGGACACCATCCATGCGCAACATGGCACTGTTAGTACTCTGATATTTTTCGGCTGTTGATGGAATCAGCCTCTCTGAGAGCTACCACAGAGTTCGGGAAACCTGACTACCAGCCGGCCTCAGAACCATAAAACTGAGTTTTAGAGCTGTACCCTCATTAGGAGATAATAGAATGAGTTGCCCAGTCATAAAAATAGAGACACAAGCAATACCCACGCATTGAGTCAAGAAGATCCAGTATTCAACATCCTAAACCTTCTACAAGACAGTAGCCGGATGCATTTAACATCTGCCCAAGATGAGTATTTTTATTGAGACACCATCTCTAGCCTTTACTCAACCAAGAGCCCCAAGGCAGGGGGTGTTTTAATTCGGAGTTAACTTCTCCTAGCCTTTGCCTAAAATAGCGTATCCTACAAGGCAGCAGGACATGAAGATTCTCCAGAATCTTCCCCATCATTGTCAACTAAATGAAAATTCAACTCCAAAAATACTCTACTATATACTACTAATATTTTAAATTCTATTTAAATATTTAAAAAATCAACACTTACCTTCAGTTTCATCTCCGTGGTTAACTAAATAGAGTTTACAATAATAATAATATAAATCAAAATATAAATGAAAAAATAATAAATTATACTTAAATATTCAAAAAATCAACACTTACCTTTAGTTTCATCTCCGTGGTTAACTAAATAGAAATAAATATTATTTACAATAATAATATAAATCAAAATATAAATGAAAAAATAATAAATTATAGTAAACCAAAAAAAACAAAAAATCAAAGTTACACATTAAATAAACAGAAAAAAAAATCTATATACTTGATAATGTACTTAAAATGTAACTTAAATTATTATTATTATTATGATTATTAATAAGTCTTATTATAAGACTTATTTAATTTAAACTATGTGAAAACTATTTGAACGATTTAAAAGATATAAGACTTATATCTTTTAAATCGTTCAAATAGTTTTCACATAGTTTAATTTTTTCCTTACAATAAGACTCCTTTGATGTTAAACAAATAAAATGTTTTGAAAAAGATTAAAATAAAAACTTTACCGTTCATTTTTCTTTTTTTGCTAATCTATAATTTTTGCTAATCTATAATAATTAAATTAATAAAATTAAATATAACCTATAAAGTAAAAATAAGATTTTTACTTTACAACTCTTTTTTTTATAACAACATAACAACGTTCTAAAATAAAAAATTGCAAAATTCAACTTAAGTAAACATGTAAATTGAAACTATATAAAAATGATTTCCCTAAAAAGTTAAGAGAAGTTCGTCAGGTCTGGCTCAGTAGACCTTTTGGGTGGACCGCATGTACTTAAAAAACGCGCTCTAAAAAAAACCTAGAATCTACTTGAAAAAACATTAAACGATGACATAATGCGACATTGAACATTGAACATTGAATTTTTACAGTATTCATATTTAGAGATAATAATAATAAAAAGAGGAATACAAAAAAAAAATATAAAATATTTAGATGGGAGTTAAGGTTTTACCCTAGTTATTCAGGGAAAACAATATGAACAATGATCTCAATGTAAGTAGTTCAGCAGCATTATATAAAACTACAGGGCCTGCCACCTAACGTTTTTTTTTTCAACTAGTGCTTATTTCGTGAATGGTAACACTTAGCTCATGTCTGATTTCACAGATAATTAGTTTTATCCTTTCGCTGAACAAATATGGTTGTGTATACGCTTGAACAATGCTAAGAAATATTGCAAAATATTGGAAATATTACTTTGAAAATCATGGTAATGTTGCAGAATGTGTGCGAAAATTGCGTACGGATTTTGGAAAAGGAGAAGCACCGTCAGCTTTGTATGTTCGTTATCTTGTGAAAAAAGTGAAAGAAACTAGCATCCTCATCGATAAACCAAAGCGTGAAAAGCCAAAAACAGTGCGTACACCCGAGAATATTGCTGGTGTGGCAGAAAGTGTGCGTGAAGCGCCGTCAACATCAGTTCATCGTCGTTCTCAACAATTGAACATTTTGGAGACATCATTGAGACAAATTTTGCATAAAGTATGGCGCCATACAAAGTCCAATTGATTCAGAAGTTGAAGCCAACTGACCATCCAATGCATTTTTGCTTCGCTGAGTGGGCCTGCGATCGGCTTACAGAAGATGCCAATTTTGCCAAAAAAATCATCTTTTCAGATGAAGCTCATTTTGATCTTGGGGGTATGTAAACAAGCAAAATTGTCGCATTTTGGGCACAGAAAACCCGCACGCATACATTGAAAAGCCGATACACCCAAAACGAGTCACTGTTTGGTGCGGATTTTGGTCCAGAGGCATAATTGGGCCATTTTTCTTCGAAAATGAGCAAGGAGTGGCCGTAACAGTCAATAGAGATTGTTATTGGGCCATGTTGAACAAATTTTTGTTCACAAAAATTGAAGAGAAGGATATTGGCAACATTTGGTTTCAGTACGTGCCACACAGCCAAAGCTACACTCGATGTTTTGTGCCCTGTTTTTGAAGATCGCATTATCAGCCGCAGAGCTGATGCTGTTTGGCCACCTCGGAGCTGCGATTTGACACCGTTAGACTATTATTTGTAGGGTGCCCTCAAAGATAAGTGTTACGCCGACAAGCCAGAGACAATTGACGCTTTAAAAGACAATATTCGTGAAGCCATTGGTGAAATACAGCTGCACACAATTGATAATGTGCTTAAAAATTGGACCGATCGTGTAGGCTACTGCATGGCCAGGTGAGGCAGTCATTTGAATGAAATTATTTTCCATTATTAACCGGAAAGATTGTACTTTCAAATAAAAAAAGAAATTTGAGAAAATATTCAGTAGTTTTTTTTTACAGCATTTTCAAAAAAAAAAAGTTATTTGGCGGACCAAAATAAAATATTTTGCATTTTAACTATTCATGTAAATCAAATATACACATTGATAATGTAAAAAAAAAAGAAGCTAATTATGTGTATAAACTGTTGGTAATATTCAGGTTTTAGCATTGTGTAGAGATAACTTACTCCATGCATCCTTATTCAATTTTTCCATATCACCTCAACAAACCATATTACCCCATCCTACCCTATATTAAAAGAGGTAGTAAATAGTTTCTATGCACGGTGATAGTGAAGGTTTGTGTTTTAGAGTTAAAGTGTTGCAAGGTTGTAAAAATAAAGCACAAAAAAATGAGTATTCTTAGCAAGTAAATATTTAGGAGTATAAAAAAATTATCTAATTTAAATATTTCCCAAATTACATGATATTTCTTCATATCTAAGTTATATGATATTTCTGTTTATCTAAGTTATATAATATTTCTGTGTGTCAAATCAAGTTATTAAAAGCAATTCTAATTGTATACATGACTTACAGGTTACTTAACAGGTTTAGCAAAACTTATATTGATTTCATTTAAACTTTATGTTTTATTTTTTTTTTTCTTTATTCACATCAGTGAACTTTGGTTTTTCCATTGGTATTGGTGATGTAACACCAGGTCAAAGCTTGATTACCGCCAAAGAAACTTTGTTGAAAGCTGGGTATTTAATTTTTTTCTGTATTGTATAAAATATATATATATATATTTTGTTTAAATATTAAATTATGATTTATTTTAATGATCAATTAAATCAACTGGTAGTGGATTGCTGATGATACTAGTAATGCAACTTTCGGTAGGTTAAAGATTCAGATAACTTGTACACCTTTGGAAGTACGCCAAACCTGTTTTTTTAATATGACAGCGTTGTTTGATAGTTTTTTTTTTGAAGTTTTGGACTAAAAAAGCCTAATAAAAAAAGAGTAGTTTTAGTTGACTGTAAGCTCTACCTCATAACCTTTGGGAAAGTGAACTTAATTATTAAAAAAAACTAAATCAATTGAAAATATTTTTAAGAAAAATTTACTTGATGTGGAATGGGAGTTATTAATAATTTTATGGATGAGAGTTTTGAGTTACTTGGTGTGGATGGTAGTTTTAAGTGACTTAACTTAGATAGAGTTTTGAGTGACTTGATTTTGATGAGAGTTTTTAGTAACTTAATGTGTATGGTAGTTTTAAGTGGCTTGATGTGGATGGGAGTTTTAAATACGTTGATGTTTATGGAAGTTTTTGTGACTTCATGTGGATGGTAGTTTTAAATGACTTGACGTTGAATAAAGTATTGAGTAAGGCAGTCAAAAATCGCAAAAATGCTTGTCTGAGTTTTCGTCGAATGAGTGGGTGGGCACCCGGGTACGCGTTAAAAGACAATGTTTTTTTGTAAAAGTTTTCATTAATTTTAAAAAATTAATGAAAACTTTTAAAAAATTTCATATAAATCTAAAAAATTTCATATAAATCTAAAAAATTTTAAAAAATTTCATATAAATCTAAACTTTATTTTACATTAAATGTCCAGGTTACACAACTACGGTTACTCCCAATTATGGTTAAGAAAAACTAAAATGTCTTCTGTTTCAGGTGCCAATGATGCACGCTGTCGATTGACCACATATCTAGCAGTTGAAAATGTGCATTCTGCTGGCACCAAAGTCACAGGGATGCACATGTACTTGTGAGCCAAAACAGAAAGCTTTGGTTAATGTTTGGTGTTATCTTGCCAAAACTCTTAGATATATCCTTAGACAGTCAATGACGTTTCCAAAAGGTAAGACACCAATTCATCCATATATCCAAACCCTTTGTTGGCTGGGCACAGCAATGCTAGTTCATCAAAAACATTCTCCTTTGGTAAGTCCGGTTCTAAATGATCCTGTGCTCGCTTTGGCATCGGTTCTTCTGCTACTACTTCTATATTTCCTTCCATTACTGGCATAACAATAACTTCAATTTTGTCTCTAATGGCAGAGTATTTATGTTTTATTTCGAATAGGGTCTTCAAAAAATTTTAAAAATTTATAATGTGGATCTAATACAGATGCTCTTTGTCTAGGTAGTACACTGAATTTTTGTGGATAATATCGCTTTGTTATTTCAGGATCAATAACATTTCTGCAATTATTGGCAGCAGTGCATTCACCTGGTTTTGCTGCTTGAACATTTTTTAGAACAATAGACAACAGTGGATAAACTAATGACAACAAAGGATTTTTCTGACCAGATGACATAGTTGTTACCTGCTTTAACGGTTTCAGAATGGGTGTAATGGCTTGCACAAGCAACCAGTTTTCATCTGTCATTTGTTGAATTAAGGCATTTTTTTTTTGTAAAATTTTGGTCAGACAGCACAGCTTTAATCACCCAACGTAACTTCACTATTCGCTCTACATGTCCAATGTGGAATCCCATGGAGTAGAGCAGTCTATGATAACTTCTAATGTTTTTTCATCATCCTTAGATCTCAGTGCTGTTTGTTTGTTATGCAGTTCCTGCATTTCTAATGTACTTCGCTTAAAGTGTGTCGCCAATTGCCTTGCGGCCTGAATCATATTCACAATTGCTGGAAGTTTCAGACCAGCTCCAATGGCTAACTGTAGCACGTGAGCAAAACAGCGTTGATGCGGCTGTTCATATTTCAACAAGCTAAGGAATCCATCACCTTCAACTAAACTTATTGGGTGTGCATCACAAGCAATGAAGTCTGCTATATTCTGATCCAAAACTAGTTCTCTTTCTTTCGTCATTTTAGGCCGCGAAACTGTAAAGAAAAGAAAAAATGTTTGGTGTGCCCAAACTCCTAATGCCATCAATATCTATATGATGTGTTCCAGTGAGATGGTGTTGGATAGTGCTTCTGTTGCCACCTTTCGCTGTCAAAATCGCCTCACATTGCTTGCACTTCACGCTGTTTTTATCAATTTGGTCTGCATAAGTCCACACTTTTGATACTTTACCCATTTCTTTTTTCTATAAAATTAGTGTTTTAAAATGTTTTTAAAACCTAATTAATGTTTTTAAAAGTAAAGCATAAAGAAGAAAGAACAACAGATAGCTTTTATAAAGCTTTAATTGGTTACAAATTGATGAAATTTTGTTATAACATTTTATTTATTTACAATAAACTTTCCGAATGTTTTTGTTAAATTTTTTATTTCAATTAATGATTGAAAACTTAAAAAAAAAAATTTAGAATTGATAATATGTAAATTAAAACATTTTGTTTTTTTGCATGGACAAGAGTTACCTGTCATTTGATAATGCTGCTTGGGCAGTAACCAACAGGCGGGTACCCGGTTGCCCGGGTACCTGTTGACAGCTTTTGTATTGAGTGATATAAATTTGATGGGAGTTTTAAGTGATTTAATGTAGATATTAGTTTTAAGTGGCTGGAAGTGGATGCGATTTATAAATGAGTTGATGTTGATGGAAATTTTTAGGGATATAGAGTTTTTAGCAAAGTAAATGTATAGTTTTTAGCAAAGTAAATGTAAATATTCAGAAACTTGATGTGAAAAATGCTTTGGTTACACAAAAAAATCAAATAGAGATTCAAATTTTACTTAGTAAAACAAAATCTTCATACAAGATCTAGAGATTTTTTTTGGGACTTGATAAAAACTGGATGAAGTTGAAACATGCATTGTTTGTTTTTTTAACAAAAATTTACAGAAATATATATATATATATATATATATATATATATATATATATATATATATATATATATATATATATATATATATATATATATATATATATATATATATAATTTTATTGTTATAACAAATGTGTTATAACAATAAAATTATATATATATATATTTTATTGTTATAACAAATTTTATAGTTATAACAAATGTGACAAGTTTATTGAGGAATACAATAATGGTATGCTACAGACTCAACCTGGCTGCTCACCTGAAGAGACACTTGAGGTTAGAAGATATTTTTTTACTTTTTTACTTTTTTTTTTTTTTTTCTTTTTTTTTTTCTTTCTTGATTCGGTTTTTATATATATATATATTTTTTTATGAGTTATAAGATAAGTAGAAATAGTTTTTATGAGTATAAGGTAAGTAGAAATAGTTTTTTGTCATTATAAAAACAATTGATTAATTGCTTTTACGAAAATGTTTTTTTATCAATTTATATTTTAATTTACATTTATTAATGTAAAGATATATTATATAAATAAAGAAAAAACATTTTCGTAAAAAGTATAATATCAAATAAGATTATATTATAATTACAAGTTTGGAGTTAATAGAGAGTTAAATAGCAAAAACACAGTTGACAGAAGACTTGACTGACAGTTGACAAAAGACTTGACTGACAGTTGACAGTAAAAGACTTTAAAAACTGTAAACTGTATAAGTTAGGAAAACATGAATACCGGAAAGAGTTCCAAAGCATTGATGTTCAAAGAAAAAGAGTAGATAAACAAAAGATCGTTGGACATAAAAGAAGAGGAACAGTTAAAGAATGCAATTTGGATGATTGAGAAATCAGGAAATTAAGTTTTGTGATGATAGCTTGCTTGAGCTGTAGCTGTGGTAGTTTTTAAATAAACGAGAAAAAGATAAAACCTTACAGCAGTTGGAAAGAGACTCAAGTTTCCAACTTATTTATGATAGAACTTATAAAGGTTAACTAGTCAGTAGTAGAACGAGATCAGAAGATCAGAATCCATATTGATTATCAGAAAGTAAATTGTTAGACTCAAGATGAGTCTAACAAGTTAATTAACAAACTTCTAATCCCTAATTGTAATATAAGGATTAGAAGACTTTTCTGGTAGAATGATTAGAAAAATATAATAATAATAAATAGATAAGATCGGATGATAGTTAGAGGGATCTAGCAATCTCTAGATTTTTTAAAAATCTGAACTACCGATGGCATTTTTAAGCAGTAAGGGATTTTCGCATCAGATTCAGTGCTTGTTAAATACTTGTAATAGTAATAAAGAGGCAACTGGAATGTTGTCAGTACCACAAGCTGTAGAAGAGTTTCAGATTTTAGTAATTGAAGTATGAGTTAATGTCAAAAAATAGTTTGTTAACCTTTTTCTTTAAGATAACAATCAAAAGGAACTTGATTCAAGATGCAAATAGCCTAGTCTTTTGAAGAGACTTGCCTAATGACAGGATTTTCCAAAATCTAGAACTCTATAATTTTAAGAAAAAAGGAAAAAAAAAACCTTAAAACTTAAAAATCATAAACAAATTTTTTTAAGTTTCATGACTAATGAATGTCAAAATATTCAACTGATATTATATATGTACTAATATATATTCAACTGCACATGTTTTCACTTATATATATATATGTATGTATATATGAATCTTGTGTTAAATCCACTTAAAATCTTTCATATCTTTCAAAATATTACTGATGAGGTAACCTATAATATATATATATATATATATATATATATATATATATATATATATATATATATATATATATATATATATATATATATATATATATATATATATATATATATATATATATATATATATATATATATATATAGACACACACACACACACACACACACACACACACACACACACACACACACACACACACACACACACACACATTTGTAGTAGTTTAAAAAATAATGTATTGAATTTTTTATTTTAAAAAATAACATTAAAATATTTACATAATGAACTCATTTTGTTTCATTATTAAATTATCAATTAAATTTTAGGCAATCATTTTACGTGAGTTATCAGTAATAAGAGAACATTGTGGTAAAGCTTGTCTTCAAGAACTTCATCGAAGTAACAGTCCTCTTATTATGGCTTTATCTGGTTCTAAAGGTATATTTTTACGAAAGTTACTTTTACTGTAGTTTTTAAATTTATATCTAATTATTTTTTTTAAATTAGGTTCTTTTATAAATATCTCTCAAATGATTGCTTGTGTTGGCCAACAAGCTATCTCCGGACATCGAACACCTGATGGATTTGAAGGAAGGTCATTGCCTCATTTTAAAAAGCATTGTAGGAAATGTTTTTCATAATAGTTATAATATTTTGATGGTGACTGCAACGGACAATAATTCATTTGCTGCTGTTGATTATCTTGCATTTATTTCTTTAGCAAAGATTCCTGCTGCAAAAGGTTTTGTTGGGAATAGTTTCTTCTCTGGTATGACTCCAACAGAATTTTTTTTCCATACTATGGCTGGTCGAGAAGGCTTAGTGGATACAGCTGTTAAAACTGCTGAAACAGGTTATATGCAACGTAGGCTTGTTAAGGTACTTTTTTAACAACCTATTTTTTTACTTTTTTTTTAGTTATTTTTTACTTATTAGATTATCTTTAAAATAAAAAATTGTTTATTTAGATTAAAAAGAATAGATTCAAAATAAAAATAAAAAACTGCATTTATTGTGACTTTTTTTAAAATAAAAATAAAATTATTTTTCTCTTTCTTTTTCTTTTTTTAACAAATTAAATGAATTATCAAGTAATTGTAGGTTTATAGATTTTAATAATTTGTCAAGTAATTGTAGGTTTGTGCAAATCCTAAACATAGTTATAATACAAAGCAGAATACTCATTTAATGAAGAAATTATAAAAATAATTGAATGCTAAAAGCTTGGTATTGAAATTATTTAATCATTTTTTAAATTGTATTAATAAAGTCAAAGAAGTGAAGAAGTGTTAGCCTCAAAGGCTAACACTTCTTCATTTCCAGTAACTTCTGGGGTACCACAAGATTCTTTGTATTGTACTGTTTCTTATCTTTATTAATGATCTTCCTATTGAACAATTTTATATCTATAGTGAATCTACACTAACAACACAACTCCTCTCTGTACAAAATTTCAAAACTTTTTAAAATAGGCAACCAATCTTGAATCTGATTTCTCCTCTGTAACAGGGTTTGCAGTGACTTGTAAATTTTAAACAAATTTTAATGTGATGGTTCTTGAGCTGTTGTTTTTGTCTTTGTTGAAAATTCTGTCTCCTTTATAATTCCCTGGATTCATTTACACCATGAGCTATCATGACTTGTTTCATAAACCTAACCTAAATCTCATGTGATTAGTCTCATTTAGCTGAGTTGGATCTTTTTACTGGAATTTCATGTCCAAAAAATTTTTTTTACCCATTTTTTTCTTGAACATTAGTGCTTTGGAATTCTCTGCGGCCTTAATGTTTTACTGACTCAGTTTTTCAGTGCTTTCTTCTAACTCTTTTCTGTTTTAACTTTTCTGTTAACTCCAATCTCAATTAATTGTTGCTTGCAGCCTTGTTAGGAGTGAATTAGTTGAGAAAGAAAAACAAAAAATTAAAGAAAATGTAAATAAATTATTCTAAAAGGAAGTCATTATACAAAAAATGAATGTAAAAATTCTAAATTCAAATTTGATATTACAAAAGACATCTTGATAACCTTTTTGTATGAGATATTATTATAGTTATGTAAATTATAAGCATATATTTCTAGCATAAATTCTAACAATAGTTAACATTTAAAATCTAGTGTAATCGAAAAAGTATTTCATTAATCAAGATGGCCTCAAACAGTACTTATTGAAAAAAAGTTTCAATTTGCATACTTTTAATTGTCAGGAATCAAGTATTAAATTAAATTTAAAGTCGAATATCTTATAATCAAAAATGATTCTAAAAATTTCAAATCTTATATTTGAACCAGATATGCAAATGCAATTTTTATACTAAAAATCTGTTTCAAAATATCTTAACTCTTTGCAATAAAGTTTCAAAAATATTGCACTAACATCACAATTAGCATTATGATACATTTAACCAAAATCATTATAAAGTCACAATGTTATATCAAATTAAATGGTACAAGGTATGGTGTAATTTATTATTTTTGTTTTAGTCATTGGAGGACTTATCATTACAGTATGACTATACTGTACGTTCTTCTATGAATGATGTAGTTCAATTTACTTATGGCGAAGATGGTTTAGATCCAGTATGTATGGAAGGCAAAGATAAACCTTTAGATATTGAGAGATTGTTCCATCATTTAAGGGTATTACTTTTTTTATGGGTAGTAGGGTAGAGCAAGTTAAGATGTACTATAACTCTAATTAAAAATTAAAAGCCATTAAGTACTTTATATTTTTAAGTATGTTGTATCTCTAATGATTTTATTATAAAAGTTATATCATTGTATTCACTATTTTGTTTTTCCTCAAGTGTTTTCCCCAAAATAAAGATAATAAATAGAAAGTAGGTAGATAATACTAAAAAAGTATATCATAATAGAGTATAGATGGTTAATAAATAAATAATAGAGAATTTAAGAAAAAAATTAATACTTTTTCTGGTACTTTACTATTATTTAGTGTACGTATCCTTGTAATCATGAAAAGTCATTAAACACAGAAGAAATATTAAAACTTTCTGAAAATGTTTATAATGAATCGATCAGTGTACAAAAATGTGGTTCATTGTTGATTCAAGATTTAAGGTGATTTTTTTTTAATAAAGTTCTGTTTTAACTGATATTCTTAATATATGTATTATTATGCTTGTGGGCGAAAAATTATGATTTAAGCCCGTACAAAGTACTCTTGTAACTTTACGAGATTTTATAAATTAAAGCATTTTCTAGTAATAAAGGCATTAAGTTATATGTGTATATGTATATATGTATGTATATATATATATATATATATATATATATATATATATATATATATATATATATATATATATATATATATATATATATATATATATATACATACATATATATATATATATGTATATATGTATACATATATATATATATAAATATATATATATATGTATATATATATATATATATATATATATATATATATATATATATATATATATATATATATATATATATATATATATGTATACATATTTATATATATATATATATATATATATATATATATATATATATATATATATATATATATATATATATATATATATATATATATATATATGTGGGCTATTCCACATCGGAAAATGAAAAAGTAGTTAAATTTTATTCTTTTTTTTTTGTCAACTTTTAACAAATGAATATTAAAGTAGACATATGAAATTTAACTTAAAATATATCTTTAATACTAAAATTTAAATCATTTTTATACCTCCGAAGTTAGGGTTTTTCTCATTGTTTCTTGCATGATAAAAAAGTTATTATTTTAAAATGTTACTTTAACCATAAATTTATTTGCATAATCAGAATTAATTTAGTGTGAAAATGTTTAAATTGTTGTTGGTCAAATTAAATACTTTATAAAATATATATACTTTAAGAAAATAATTTTCATGTAACATAAGTTAACAAAAGCATAAAGTTTTATTTTTTTTTAAATTTAGTTAAAAAAACTTTAGTTGAAAAAAGTTTTTTAATATTATATGCAAAAGAATATTAAAATTTATGTTTTACATTTAAAGTTATGACCTAAACATTAAAGCAATTTTTTTACCTTGTTTTCAGTGTATCGTAAATTAAGTGGCATTTTCAGTAATAAGTTTGCCCTCTTTTGGCGAGACTAAAAACTTTTTAGCTTATTTTAATAATTAGACTGACAGCTTTTATACAAAACGGCTAAAAGTTTAATTTACAGTTTAAATAGGCTAAATTTTTGATAAAGTTGTTGCACATGTAACGTAAGTTTAAAATGGAATTGCTCATATATATATATATATATATATATATATATATATATATATATATATATATATATATATATATATATATATATATATATATATATATATATATATATATATATATATATATATATATATATATATATAATTACAGAAGAGGTGAATTAGCAAATATATATAAATATATGATTACAGACGAGGAGGCTACTTATTTGTTGTTATAACCCTCTCTCAACTCTATAACTCCGAAACATGAACCTTGACAAACAAGGGTGCTGCGCGGAGAAACGAGTTGAGCATAGTACTACTAGTCGTGGGGATTAAACTCAGAACCTCTCGCTCATGAAGTGAGCGCTACACCAATACCACCATTAACTATTAAAAATTTAATTTACAGTTTAAATAGGCTATATTTTTGATAAATATGTTGTTTGTGTAATGTAAGTTTAAAATAGAATTGCCCATATTTATATATATATATATATATATATATATATATATATATATATATATATATATATATATACACACACCCACACGCAATGCAATCTCTCTAATTCGAATCTCCTTAATTAGAAAACCTCCATAGTTCAATTAAATGCAAAGTCACCGTGAAACGCGTTTAAGAAACTCTTATGTTTAACTTTCTATAATTCGAATCTCTATAATTTGAAAACCTCCGCAACTCAAATGGATTTTTAGACCTGTCAGTAAGATTCTCTCTGTAAATCGAACTTTTTAATTTCTGGCACGTAAAAAGCTCATTAAACCGTCAAAATCTTTTTTCAAATTTCGAATGTTGTGAGTTTTTGAAAAAACGATCAGTGTAAATTATCTTCTACTGTTTAAAAATAATAATGGCATCAAAGAGACATAAAGAAAACAATTTAAAGCAGAAATAAAAAACTCTAATGAAATTAAAGAAAGGAAAAATAAATAAAGAGGTTTAGAAAATTTTTGATATTCCACCAAACACTCTTAACCTGGAAAATAAATAAAGATAAAATCTTTGCTCTTGACGCTTTTTGTCAAGGAAATTTGACTAAACAGGTGATAGTTTATTCGTATTACCTTGTAAACAAAGCTGTACTTAAATGGTTCAAATGAATGAAAGTTGATAATGTACCAATTAGTGGCTCGCTGCTAAAATAAAAAGCTTTATATTTTGCAATACAGTTATGCTTCAAAAATTTTGCAATAGAGTTATGCTTCAAAAATTTTCAAGCTTCGGAAGAATGGCTAGACTAGTTTAAGAAAAAGCAAACTAATTTGGAGATAATTTGGCAAAGGTAAATCGTGTCTTTAACATGAGTTTACTAGCTCATAAAAGACTATCTACAATTACTGACTTTTTTTTTCAAATTTAAAAGTTTAAAACACATAATATATATTACTTTTAGGCCTAAGAATTACTAGTTGTTTGTTTGTTTGATATTTATTTGTTACTTTGAAAAGAAAATTAAAAAAAAAAGTCAACTTTCTTTAATTCAAAAATTTCTCTAATTCGAACTTTTATTTTTCCCCATAAAATTTGAATTTTATAGGGAAAAATAAAAGTTCTAATTGTACTGTAGCAGTAATAAAAGTACTTTTTTGGTAGACAGTGCTCAATACAAAAAAAAAGAGCAAATATATTTAAGTATACAATAGTTTGTTGCCCTCCTCTAGCAGGTCTCAAAAATGGTACAAGGGGCAGCGATGTCCGACTAAATTAAGCGCTATATATATATATATATATATATATATATATATATATATATATATATATATATACACACACACACACACACACACACGCATAATGTGACACCAATACCAATTGAATTCATTAGTTTCATTAAAAACCTTGTGAACTTTCTTTGTTTGGTAGATTCATCAGACATAGTTTGGGTTCCAAAAATACCCCATAAATTTTTTATTGGTTTTAGGCTTGGTAGCAGCCATTTAATTATGTTTTTTTAAAAATTGTTGTACCACTATGATTGCATTTTAGCATCTTTATCTTGTTAAAAATAAATTGTTCCAGATGCAATTATTAAGTGGGTTGATGCGCAATTTTTGCAAGTTGTCTTTTGCAAAGTTGCAAGTTTTGCAAATTTTGCAAAGTTGCAAGTTGTTTTGCAAGCTGTCATAGCTTCAATATTGAATATGAATAAAGTGAATGAATAAAATTCTATAAAGTAACTAAAAATGAATGTATGATGATAGTAAATGAATAGTATTATATGAAAGTAGTACTATACATACATATATATATATATATATATATATATATATATATATATATATATATATATATATATATATATATATATATATATATATATATATATATATATATATTACAATATATATATGAGAGTCCTACAAAGTAACTAAAAGTGAATAAAAAATGATAAGGAATAGTAATAGAAGTGAATGAATAATGAAAAGCGAAAGTTATACTATATAAGTCACTAAAAGCGGTTAATTAAATAATAAAGAAAAGTATTTCAAAGTAAAGTGCAACATATAAACAAAATAAATTAGCAAATAAGATAAATTACCGCCAAATTATTTCAATCTTTTACAAACAATCATGGTTTTAAAAGTTTCAACTGCTGAATTGTACCTTTTGCGAAATTCACCAGACCTGCTTGCTCTTTGTAAGACTAATTTAATTTTAATTTAGTTGTTTCTTCTTTAGATATTAGTATTTATTGCTATTATTTTTTAATTTGCAAAGACTTCAATAGTCATGCTTGCTTGCATGCATGCTTGGCCTGGACTTTTACTCACATATCAGTTCACATATTTGTGAAATCAGGTTTAAATTCTCTCATTCACTTACAATCTTTTTGTTCTTCATCCTTCTCCTTCTTCCCAAGACATTTTTTTTTTACCCAAGCTTGCGCCAAGTTTCTTCTTGATCTCTTTTTTCAAATCATGGTATGCTTTTTAATCAAATTGATTACATCTATGTTGTTCTACATCAGATTCACCCATCAGATTCACCATTTCATCACACTTCTTACAACTACTTTAAAGCTGAGCTTTTGGTTTATAATCTTCTGGATTCATCATGGATGCTTTTATTTTTTTATGCTAGCTTCGATTCAAGCTTTAGCATAGTTACCATGGTTGCAGCTGCTATTTCTTATCATTTCTTTCATCTTCTTTTTCACAAGAATAAATCTCTGAAGAACAAACATATTTTTTCACAAGAACAAATGTGTTTTTATCAATTCAAGAAATTGATGTTAAAGGTATTGTCTCATTCCAAGGCTGGTCTTCTCCATAAGCTTGCTTTATAAGATGCATCTGAGAAAGTTTTTAAAGTTATTTAATCCTTTCCTTTTAATTGCATTAATAAAGACGTTCTTGATGGTCAACACTTTTTTCATTTCCAGTTACTTTTAGGTATCTCAAGGTTTCATCTAGGTTTCCTGTGTTGTTCCTCATTTACATAAATGATCACCCGATTAATACTCTAAAGTATATGCTATTGACTTAACTGCTAATAAATTATTAATTTATCTATTATCAGTAGTTTTTACTCTTAAATTAACTATATATTTTCTGGGATCATCAACTAATGACCTCTCATAAAGCTATATGTACAATCCATTGCAATATTAGTGTCTTCTTTTTTGCATTCGCCATTTACTTACTCATGATTTATAGACGCAGGGGATATAATCATTCAACCGTGTATGGCATACTGTTATCATAATTTTTAGCCTAATTCTTTTAATAATAAAAAACCATACCCATTAATAAAATATCTAAAATAAAAAATGGTTTAAAAAAAAGGAAAAAAAAAAAGTTAGT